ATGAAAATGAAATCTACGGTACTCTAAATAATTAAGTACCATATATGTGTGTATACGTATTAACATGTAGTGCTTGTTTGTGTGTGTGTGTGTGAGAGAGAGAGAGAGTGAGAGTGTTTTATTAAGCAGGGCTTGGCAAACTGTCTATTAGAAGCAATTAAATATAATTCTCATTTTCTGTAATATATATGAAAATATATTCAAATTAATTAAATTCATTAAAAATGAACCTACATTATAAAACTTAAAGTTAAAACCATCAGACACGTATTAATGGGTTCAGATCAATGGGATCTAGCACAGGAACATCATTTTGAACATTTTTGAAACCAAGGTGCGAAACAGCATGACAAAGCGAAGTCTCGTTTGCTGAATTAACATGACGAGTTTGTTACAAGTTCATTACAAGCTCCTAATCTCTGATTCAAAACAAAAGATTTGCAGATGTTTCAAAGCTTCACGAAGCAGTGTTTCAAAAGCGCCCTTCACTACATTCAGCACAAATTTATTTCAAGTTTATTCATTTGGAAGACACTTAAAGCAATGAATTTACCCAGCATGTGCACATCCCTTGGAACTGAGCACACTGTTGTTGCTAATCTAATGTTCTAGAAGTTTAGCAACAGGAACTAGCATGTTCATTAGCAAATGCTTATTATGTATAGCTGCTTTGATTTTCAGCAAGTATTCAGAACTTTTTTTTTTTCTTTTCATTGTAACATTTATTGAAATAACCATTCATTTTTTCTTGATCACAGCTCAATGAAGAATTCTCTTAATTGGCGTGTCTATGCTGGGACTATTTCCCAGAATGCCCTTCAGATCCCCTACTTTCTGAAGAAGATTATAGTGAATGAGAACTACAACACTAACAACAATGATTATGATGTTGCCTTGCTGAAACTCAGCAGTCCTGTTACCTTCTCCAGTGAGTTGGGTTTACTTGATGAAATAGATCACCCTAAAATATTCACACTGCTTTTTTTTCTACAGTGAAACCATTTAGAAACCATAAAAGTACCCCAAATATAGTGTTTATGGTATAGGACTCATTTTCTATATTCCAAATAATCTACAGTAAAATGTATCTTCTCAATCCAGGCACTGTGCAGCCAGTTTGCTTTCCTACATTTGACCAAACCTTTTCAGATGGATCAGATTGCTGGACATCTGGCTTTGGGACAACACAACAGGGAGCAGGTACAGACAGATTAAAATGAAAATGCATGAATATGGAAGAGGAAAATAAATTGGACAAAGAGTAACACCATGTATGATCGTAATTTACCAAAACAGGACAGTGTTATAGAGAAAGTAAGCATACAACATTTAGTGATTCACAAAAAGCCGACCAAAAATAAAATGAAATAGAATTAAATAAATAAATACATATGAATGAATGAATGAATGAATTAATTAATTAATTAATTTAATTAATTAAATAACATTAACAACATTAAGGTATCTCTTGCATGAGATTTTTATATTCTAACAATTAGTCTCAACACAAACAATATAATGTTTTAATATACATAATAACATAATAATAATACAATAATTATTTAAATTGTAAATTATGTATGCATACATCATAATAGTGTTGTGTTGGCTTTAATTAATGCTGATTTTGTTCTGAAAAAAAAAATACAGATAGAACAATTTTAACAAGAATAATAACAATCATTATTAAGAATAATGAAAATTACTAATACATTAAAAAGTAAAGCATCTGATCACATTCAGGACATTAAAAATTGGGGTGGTAAATCTTAGCAGACATAAAAATAGTCACAATTTAAAAACATCTTAATTTTCCTAAAAATAGACTTTATTTTTTTATGCAAAAATACAATTAATATAAATATACGAAAATATTCTTAAAATATTATTATAAAATAATAATACATTCAGCAATTAATACCCTTTATTTTTTATTTTAATTGTATTTCATTATTTTTTTAAATTCATACTGTACTCACCCTAGTACGGTTTGAAAATGCTGATTTGATCTTAGAAGTTTGCCCACGCCACAGCCTTCAATGTATATTGTCTTTTTTGAAGCTTTTAGCTGACCTTTGACAGTGAGCGTTTCCTTTGCTCTCACAGACAGTGCCTCTACAAGCCTCATGGAAGTGAAAGTGAATATCATCAACACACTTCTGTGTAACAGCAGTCAGGTGTACCGAGGGGCCATCACCAAGAATATGATATGTGCCGGTGATATGAATGGGGGACGGGATTCCTGTCAGGTGGGTCTACCTCAGCTACTAGAGCACAAGTGACCTCAGGCAACTACATTATTCACTGTCAAAGTCTCGCCCAGCGTTTCTTTATCTCATGACATTGATTTATTCTGGTTTGGGCAAATGCTGTATGCTGTATTATTCACATTGCTGCAATTGTATTTTATTCAGCCAAGTTTGTACTATATGCAAACATGAAGCAAACTGATTTAAGAAGTACTTTATATAAATATTATAATGGGTCAATTATGTTTTCTGTCCTATTAATTATTAAGAATATATATATATATATATATATATATATAGTCATGTGGTGCTACCAACCAAATCATGGGGTGCAACTAACGAGTATTGAAAACAAGTACTTTTATAAGAACTATTTATTCATTTTATATTTTACTTTTCACTCATTTAAATAATGTTATACATGTTTGTTCACAATGATCTGAAGTCCATGTTCCATTTGCTTTCTCTCTGTCCTTGTCGTTGGTCTCAGGGGGACAGTGGAGGTCCGCTGGTGTGCAAGGGAGGTAATAACCGCTGGTATCTGGCTGGAATTACGAGTTGGGGAGCAGGGTGTGGACAAAGACAAAGACCAGGGGTATATAGCAGAGTGACCAGCCTTCTGCCCTGGATCTACAGCAAGATGCAGGTAAGCTGGACAACATGGTCCAACATGAGTCCACATAGTTCACTGATTCATAATATTGTTCATTTACCATCTAGGTACTATATACTTATTGCTTTCTCTTAACCTGTTTATATCTTGTCATCTTAGCAAGAGAAGCCCTGATGCCTCTCTTCTGTATGATGTGTCCATTGCTGAAGACTAAATGACGACAGTGGACACAGGACAAAAGATGAAGGACAGAGCAATGCACTTTGAGATGGGACAATGTTGCAATATTGTAGCCACAACTGGACAAAGAAAAACATACTTTATTATTCTCGCATTCTCCAGTCAGAAACGAATAAAACAACTCAACCTGGGAAAGCAGAGCTGCAGGCTTTGAGGACCCTGTGGTCCCCTTCTGTCGCTGTGCTTTCCTCATTCTTTCCTTTGCATTTATACTGTATGTTCATTACACGCTGCTGAATCTGAGCCTTTGTTGCCTCTTTAACTTGGTATCCCTGCACTGATTCTACAACAAAAAAATAAATATTGGGAGTATTCTGCAAATATGTATTTAATAATCAAAAGGGTGTTCATTTTGTTTGAAAATCAGTGTCTGTGAGCTATAATAAAATGTGGTATTGTTTTAACCTATGTGAAGGGTCCGTCCTTTTCTATCTCTGATTCATACTGTTTCTTTATAAATCATGCCGAAAATGGATACAGTTTGAGCTTTATTCTCCAAATGCAACAAATTAATATAGTGGAGAATGGGGCTAGCTATGAAAAATGCTATATCTCATTGGGCCGTAACTACTGGACAATGACACATTCTGTGTAACACTTCAGTTGAAAGAGTGCGAGGTAAGCTATATAGATAAACACTTAATATTTGGCAACTATTTTACAATAAAAATGTTACACAAGCAACAGTAATATTTCGTCAAATTTTGCGTTTTGAATTAAAATATATTATTTAAAGCTGCAGTCCGTAACTTTTTTGTGTTCAAAATGTATATAATAAGCGAGTACACCATGAATCCATTTTCCAAACCGTGTTTTTGGCTTGTCCTGAATCACTACAGTACACCTATAATAAGTGTTTATATTCGGACTATTTAGACTGGTTCGGGTAGGTACCGCTGCGGAGTAGCCCAGTACCTGCGTGATTCGCCATAGAAGTAAACAGAGAGAAGTAGCTCCGGCTACAATGTTCTTCCGCAAGACGCACGCAGTTCTGTTTATTAACCGCTAGAGCGCCAAAAGTTACGAACTGCAGCTTTAAGTGATTAATGTAATGCAATTGAATGTGATGAGGAAAAAAAATAACAGAGACATTTTCAGCATATTAAGCACAAGAATAAGAGTGAATATGTGCACATTGTGAATGGATTTAATTTGAAACATTCAATACTTTTTTTATTTTCTTTTGTAGCCAAGGCTTTAAGTCATGTATCTATACAACTGACTTTCAGAAGTACATCCACATTGATAAATATTCACTGGAGTAAAAAGTGTTACACCTAGTTCCAGTTTCTTCTGTGAATCATTTTGCGGGCCACCCCCACTCCAGAATCAACTTTGTCCCAGATGTTTCTCCTAAAATAACATTGGATAAAAAAAAAGAACACTGCTGAGAGCTAGGAGAATTTAATGAGAAATGTCAGACTTTTGATTGTCTTTGGTATATATCCAAACTTGAGCAGTCTGAGACATTATAGGAGATCTCCTCTGAAAGTGAAATTGCTGCAGTCATTTTCTCAGGAGAATCATCTGAGAAGCTGAAGAGTTCAGTAAAAGTTCGGATTTGCTTTGCATTAAAGCTCATTGCATAAGTAAACACACTGCATTTGTGAGAACACCGAAACAATACAAACAGTATATTTTCTTGTGGAGTCATTACGAAAAGCTCTGCGTGGACGTTTGGATACGCTTTGAAGACTCGTGTTTCACGAGTTCGCACTAACATATAATAGGATTGATCAAGTTAGTATTTGGCGTGCTGTCCAGAGGGAGGGCTCCGAGCTCGGGAGAGAGCCCGAACCCCGAGCCGAGAACTCCCCCTATCCCTAAAAATGGGATGAGAAATAGAATAAGAGTGAGGAGTTGGAGTGGAGGAGGGGTTCTGGAAAACTGTCGTGGGACAGAGGTAAGTTGGCTGTATATATAGCCTATACACCTGTTGTGCTAGTTAAGGTGAGCTAAGGAGCTCCAACTGTGCCGAATTGATTGATTATCTGATCGTGCTCCTCCTGTACCTTGTTAATGAAACATCATTATGTGACCGTGCACGCTTTTAAAGACCAACCAACACTCGCGACCTACGCGTGCGGTGTCTCTCATTGCGCGCGTGGCGGGGCGGGAACCGAGAGAGCGCGAGAGACTAGACAGGGACAAGCCGTCAATATATTTATATCAGAAAAGAGGAGGTGAATCTTGTTGGCTGCTATACAACATCAATCGCTCATTTACGCGGACTTTTATCCATTAATATATTTTCTCTGCATTTCAAAAAGCCAAAAAAATTCACTTATCAGACAACGACTTGAGGACCGTCGTGCGGATCGTGTCAGCGTTTGACCCACTGTTGCCCATCCACTTACAAGTACCCGAGACGAGGTAGGGTATGAAGTCACTTATCCAACTAGATAGTATGCTGTTGCTTTATAGTCTTAGTGAAGTATGGTGTTTACTCGTTATAAAGAAGGTATTTTGGAATGACGTGCGTCAAGCCTCGCTTTTATTCCAATGACCTCATCAAAGTATTGTAAACGTTTCATAAATGGGCAGCGTGCGTTTCAACAGCAATATTATTGTCAGATGCATTATACAGTTTACACACATCAGAAGTGAATTCTGATTTTATTAAACAAATGTATGAATATAAAATGCTGTAGAATGACAGCGCGCTGTTATTGTTGCGCGAGGGTGTGTCCGAATTGCTTTGTGCCTTTTTGCCTCATTAAAGCGTTGAATGACTATTTGCAGAACCTCAATACATCATTTATGTTCATTTATGTTATAGTTTGGCATATTACTATGAGTGATGTATTTGTTATAATAAGAAAAATGTGAAAATCTGAAATGAGAGGGGAAATGGTGACTGCGCGCGAGCGGATTCGAGTTTAATTACTGAGGAAAATGTATCGGCGCGTGAA